TCCTCATTCACTCAATATCCCAGGAATGGAGTGGGCGTGGTCGCGTATTAGTTTGAACATGACGTAGAATGCGTATTTCGCAGGATGTTTCCTTTTGAAACAACCTTCAAACTGTAATGTGCTGAGCAAAAACATGGTTAAAGTTGTCCCAAAGCCGCAAAATCCCACCTAAACCACAATCGCCGTCACGCTCGAATGAAGTATGCTGCCACGCCCACTCTATCGCCGGGATTTGGAGTATATATGCTTTTGTTTTCAAGCTGATATTGTTTGATAACTGCTGTTTAACGCCGCAGTGCGCGATCCGAAAGTTATCACAAGAATGCTGAGTTGTGGGCAAAAGTCGGACCACGGGCGGGATTCGAACCCGTATGAGAAAATATCCTCATGCATGCATCCACGACAAAAATACCCATTGAGCTGAGAGCGCAAGAGTGGCCCGGTAATAGGGAGCGCAACCGCTCGGCAAGCGGAAGATGCGGGCCCGAATCCCGTCGTGGTCCGACTTTTGCCCGCAGCTCAGCACTATTGTGATACCTTTTTTGCCTACTTACTTTTTTATCCTACATTACTCGTGTGAGCGTATGAAAAATGGCTTAGGCTGCGTTTATACTTTGCGGCAGCGTAGCGTAGCGCTTCCAGCGTACGCCAGCGGCAGTGCCGGGGAGAGGATGGATATCGATCTAGCGTTCCCAGCGTCACCAGCGTAACGCTAGCGTTACGCCAGCGTTTCCAGCGTTTCACCAGCGTTTTGCTGGCGTTTGCAGCGGCAGGGGAGTAGAGACTATGTGGCCGTAAGAGACGCAATCGATGTGTATTGTAGAGACTATGTGGCCGTCAGAGACGCGGATTCGATGTGTATTGTAGAGACTGAGGGGCTCCCCTGCCGCTGCAAACGCTAGCAAAACAGCATGGTGAAAACGCTGGCGAAACGCGCTGGCGTAACGCCTAGCGTGACGCTACCTGCACGCTGGGTGACGCTGCGCAACACCTGAGATCGCATAATGCCATCCTCTGCCCCGCGCACTTCCGCCTGGCGCTACGGCCCTGAAGCGCTACGACGCTGCGCTAGCGCTGGCCAGCAAAGTATAAAGCGCAGCCTTACTCGTGTGCTGGCAGCGCATGCCATGTGTTAGGACATCATCAAAAGCCCACTAGTACGCTTCTGCGCTAGGAGATAAAATATGTGAGACATCTAAAAAAGGGATTGACCAGCGCCCGGCAGAGCCTTGCGCCCTCTCTTTTTTATTAATCTGTCAGTTGCCTATCGCTTCTGAAAAAAAGGGAAATTCCTTCTTTACCAGCCCTTTGGACCTCAGCTGCCGTTATGCTGGGCTAAGGAAGCCGATGCTTACACCAAGCACATCATTGGATGGGTTTAGGGTCAGCGTCCGTGCCGTGACCAACCCCCCCCCCCGTTTTTTTGCGATGGGCGTTTGCGTACGGCCGCCCCCCCCCCGGCTCTGCCCTCCTGCGTCGAGCTCTTCGACCGGGGGGGCGCGAGGGAAATAGCCACAGGATGGAAACGGGAAAAATACGACCCCCCCTTCTACCAATTCTCAGATTTTCCTCAACTTCCTGCCACTTTTGCAAAAGTTCCCGAAAATTTCCCTGCTTTCACCCAAAAATTTTTCTGTCGAGTGGGGAGGGGGTATGTACAGATGAAACAGGAAAATAACGAAAAGTCAACTACTCTCCCAGGAAGCCAAAAATTAAAACAGAAAGTAAATACTAACCCCCCCCCCCAGTCCTCAACGAGCAAGTGAAAAGACCCCCCTCCCTTTTATAACGTCCGCCGTAACGCGCAGAAAATCAAATATTAAAATAAATTTTTGCCACTTCAGCGATTACGCGCAGCTCCCAGCGAACAAATACGGACCCCCCCCCCTCCCCCCAGCAAGCGATGTGCCCTTGGCATCCACACTCAACTTGTAGACTACTAATTCATGTTGCTCATCCATAAAAAAGCGATGGTCCTATATGAAAAGCCTGTGAGTAGCTTGAATTGACACTTCCGAACCATAGAATCTGACAGGGGGGGGGGGCCAAAAAAAAGTCATTTTGCCTCCATGACTTTCAAGGCGCTATAAGTTACACTTTATTAAATTTTTATCGGACATTTTTACTACCATATTAAAGAGCACATTAAATACTATAACGATACTCCGCCACAGCCTTCTGGAGGAGCGCCATCGAGAGATTCGGCCGCGCGAAAGTGAGTGGGTACCGGAGTTGAGCGAGATCGTTGATTTCTCCGCCACTGTAGACCACCCTGTTGAGCTCCGCCCGAACCGAGTAATTGAGGGGGTTTAGTTCAGGACCCCCGCTTAAATACTCCATCTTTTCCAGGTACTCAACGTTCTTCCATTCCAAGTAGGCGAAAGTTTTTCCAACGCCCTTCGATTAAATGTGTTGTCACCCAATCCTGTAGCAGTACAAAGTTTCCAAGAAGGTACGGGCGACGACATGAAGATGGGATATTCTCCTCGAGTTGCTCGATGTAGCCACCAGCGCACACCCTCAGTCTGGGGCCCACGAAGAAAATATCGGTTCATCCATTCCAGGTACGGCCGGTCCACACCATCAACCGCGCCTTGGTGAATGGGGTGAAGATGATGTCCTGGACCGTAGCGACGTTGCCGGAGCTGCTCGATGTTGAGGTCTTGCAGATCAAGAGTACTGGTCTCCAGGTAGCTATCCATGGGTGATTCCATTCAAGAAGTTCCGCAGCTGTTTGGAGGCCACGTGAATTCCAAAGGCGTTCTCCACTCAGGCCGCGACTGGAGATGACTTCATATTTTGGTGTACATGAAGGTGAATGGCGGCAGCCGGCTCCTGCTTATAGAGGAAGATCTTGGGTATCTTCCGCCCTGGTACTCATATCCACTCTGGGCTGCGAAAACTTCGCTCATATGTGACTCGGCCGGGATATGATATTTTTTTTAGCCCCCCCCCTGCTACACGTATAGCTAGATCTAGTATCTAAAGCACTCCTAGTTGACTTTCCAGGGAAAATGCGGGGAAGCTTACTCAACGGACGGAGGTCTCATTTACATAATGTCGAAACGCAGTTACTGATGATTCCGAGTAGTAGCTGACGACTAAAAGAACTGTCACTTCCTAGCCGGTCCTTCGTCCTCCTCGAAAAAAACGCTGCACGGTTGGAGAGCAGGGCACCCAACCCTTAGTGTTCTCCCAGCGACTAATGCGACCCCCGCCCCATAGTATAGGGGATTCCCACAGGGCGGGCGCTCGCATTGTCGAGTGGAGAAGAGGCCGGGTCATATTTAGATAGCTGGAGGAGGGTGCGTCGTTGTTATGGCTGACGAGAAGAATGTCATATTTAAGGGCTGAAGAGGTTTCTCGATAGTTGATTTTTCTTGTTACTGAGACGTTGCAAAGGGGGGCGGGAGCTATTTGCGCTCGGTTGGAAGAAGGGGTCCTATTTCCCTTCTAAGATTCTAAGAGAGGTTGCTGATTTTTCACAGTTTTTCTTGTTTCATGTTACTATATACCCCCCCCCCGATAGCAAAATTTTTTGGTAAAAGTGGTAAAGTGTTCGGCAAATTCGGGAAAAAGGTGGTAGGAAGTTGGGGTGGGGGAAAATCTAAAAAGAAACGGTAGAGAGGAGGGTCGTACTCCTTCCCACTTGACAGCTCGATGAGGAGGAAACCAGGGGGGGCGTACCAACCTCGTAAAAAAAGGGAGGGGTCGTACGGACTCGACCAAAATCCTACTAATGATGTGCCCTGGTTGGAAATTCAAAGTTTGCAGTACGTGTTGACGTTGATGAACGCATTCCGATTTGCGGGCGTTGAAGTGTTGGGTTTGTCCAAAAGGCATGATTCAATTTCGACGGTGAGTGAGTTAGTCCGAAATAAAACAACAAAAGTGCTGGAAGTAGATCGAAAAGCCATTGAGCGACTAACGAATAACAACAAGGGCAAGTGTGACACACCACACCCTCATATCACCTCTAGGTTCAATGAAAAGGCTAAAAGGATAATGGCAAAGAACTTGTAGTAGGCCAATGCTTTTTAGGATGCGTCACGCATAATACTTCAACAAAATCGAAGTGGATTTTGAACAGGGCTTTAAATTGGGAGGAGGGGGCAACCGATGTTCAAGTCACTGTTTTTTTTCCCGAAACAAGTCTGCTGTGAGGCTGCCTGCTCGGCAGGGAAGAAAGGCTCAGTTTTCCTGAGCGGGGTCCGATCTCTTGATTCCCATACTGAGCGCATGGTAAGCGACACCACTTGCCGCTAGACCACCACGCAGATGAAAGGGAAATTCTGAAGAAAGCTCTACCCCGAAGCAGTAGAGGGCATCTGTTCTCAGCCAGCTAGTTTTGATTCTGCAAATACCCATAGAAAGCGATCTCGACCATTAAAGGCAACGGGCACGATAGGTACTCGGTTCAAAATGGTAGCAAGGGTGCTATATAATGGAATGTGGCGAAAAAGCGAAGTGAAACGGTCAAACCAATACGATTCAGGAGACAATCGGACGAGTTTTTTGTTGGCATCGTGCCAATCACCGCTACGGTAGATACGGCTGCATGTATGTACTCACATATCCATGCAGCACCGCAGCGCTTCATATCAGTCCCTTCGCTTCATGTTGTATTTCGCGAATAAAGCGATACGATAGCGATACGAGTGACGACGTCGTTCGAATATTTGTGGGCGGGCGGGCGCGGAGGGCGTCCGGGTCGGTATGTTGCAGCTTGATAGGGCGCTATAAGGGTACCTTCCTTGGAAAAGGCGCTACGCAGCGCCTGCTCAGGGACACCAAATTCTGTCCTGCTAAGCGTATTAATCCTACACATTTCGTAGATTTATCGTGCCACTTGCCTTCAAGAGCCACAGCAGGACTACTAGGACACCAACAAATGCAGAACGTTACGTGCAGCATGAGAGGACGAGCAATTAGCCGAAGCCATGTCAATGAAGAAATCAAAGTGGACTTTGCTCAACAAAGTAGCATAAGGAGTTAATTACTGTCAGTTTTGTGCCATCCATTTAAGTAAAGAAAAGAAGAAGGAAAGAAGAGTGGCCAAAAGGGATGGCCGATTTGTTGGTAGGATCTACCCATGGGAAATTTTTTCCCCACATCGTTGCTCATTAAGAAGGCCTCGAGACAATCCGCAGGCACGGGTTGCCTTTCAGAGCGCCCATTTTCGGAAACCTACGCAGTACATACTGCCCTGCCACGAACACTATAGCCCCTAACTGAGGTCTGACTCAGAGCCAAAAAGCCCCAAAGCTGAGCTGACATCTGTTTTACAAGAGCCATGGATAGCAAATACGCAAGTAAATAGGTATTATAGTAGTGCAGTATTGTCGCTGCAGTCCCGCAGTTGCAGGTTTGTATTAATGCAAAAAAATTACAAAAAAATTTGTATAGTATCAGGACTGAATGCGACAGCTGTGGGAGCCGATATTTTCAGATAGAGCGCATCGTCATGTGAGAACAATTCCATTTCAAATGCTCTGTACTCTAGAGGTATCCCCATTGGGATGGTGAGCCCTGTTTCCAGAGCCTGTTCTCCACCAATTGTTAAAGGGGGCACGCGACAAGTAAATTAAAGACACATGGTACCCCAAAACACTTGAGGTATGAGACTATCATGGGGGTCAGGCCCCCAGCAGTCGATGTTCGTGGTGGCCCCGCCCAAAACTGGCACGGGGTCAGAGTATGGGGCCGCGTGGGAAATCATGATATCCTTAACTACAACGCCTGTTTCGCAAAAACTCACGCTTTTTACTAATCACCCGGTCCGCCGCGGCGCGGTCGGCGGCAGCTCTCTTTGGGCTTTTTGGCCAACGTTCCCGTGCGCTTTGATACAATACGACCGCATATTGTACTTTGATGCGGATAACAGTCGTTAAAGACCGCGCATTCCCGACAGAACATGACAAATTAAAACGAGCAGGGCTAAGCAATGAGAGTATTCCTAAGAGTATTTCTATGACGGCGTTAGGGAGCGCGGATTCGAGCTCGGATCGTCAGAATGGTCGCACGCGATTTTCAGTAATTTGCGTTGTCCGGTTGAAGTTTTTCAATTTTGTTTTATTTAACATCGTACAGTTCGTTGTCTTCATTTCGACCTTTGCCATCTTCATCACCTTCTATTTCCCCGCGAAATGAAGCCATGGACAATACTCAAATGTAGATTCGTTTTTGCTTGTATTGACAATGTTGTCCGTTTATGGGCCATGTTTCTTTGTGGAATACGCGCCCTCTGAGGGAATTGCGAAGAAAGCAACCACAGTTGCTCTTGAAGTTTCTAGGCAGCTGTCATGTCTCGGTCTTCATTTGTGGCAGGCACTCAGCCCCGTCATCACTCTCGGTTTTTATTTTGCAGCACCTAAAATGTTATCCGCACAAAGAGATTGCGTTGTACTTGTATTTCAAAGCTGAATTACAGGACTTGGGCAAAAGCCAAGAGAGCTGCGCGCTGCGCGGACGGCTGTTAGCATAAAGGGAGTCTGAGCCGCACGTTGCATTTTGGGCGTAGCATGGACGAGTTAGACTTGTTCCACGGAGCGGCCTGTGATCTCTACCGTGCAGTTTTGGGCGGGGACCACGACACAGAGCATCAGCGCGGGTGTTACGCGGTATAGTATCGCAGTTGGGGGGCTAATAGTCTCATACACCCTCAATGTGTGAGCGTACAATGTGTCTTTAAGCTGGCGCCGCGCCAAACCCAGCCCCTGGCACGCCCCGCATCCGTAGCGAACAGGACTGCATGTTCACATTTACCCTTTACGACAGCAAGGAATCTCCAGTAGGTACCATTCACCAATCATTTGAAGCAAAGCTATGCAGACGGTGCGAAGCCGAACATGAGGAAACCAAAGTTTCCGGAACTGAAAATCACATTGAAGCCTTGCAAACTCAACAAAGTTAGCAAACCAATTGATTTTTGTCCCGTACAAAGAATAAGCGTGTAAGACCTCTAGTAACACCAGATCAGCCCTGGGCTTACTGGAGTGCCGTTGATCGATGTGGGACTAACTAGCAGTATTTGCTCCTTTTTTCCAGCCGACACGACGTTGGACGCTTTTTTATTGGTATGTTTCCATTTAAGACAACTGTCATCCTGCTGGACAAGGGCGGCCCTTGAGAGCATGAATTAGCAGGGAGAGGACCAGTGGTTGAAAGGGCAGAAGCGTTTCTATAATGTGATCTGCGCAAAACCGTCATTACTGTTGCCCGAAAACGGCAGTACTTCACCAACAGCGTAGCAATCGCTCAAATGACGTACGCGGCCACGCCCACCCCATTTCAGTGTAGTATTCTTACTATAGCTTGGGCATTAGCGCATGGAAAGGAAAAGTGTCACATATAGGCGAGCGCCCAGAAAAGGTGTTCGTGAGCGACATTCGCACCAGGTACTAACTGACTTAACGTCAGAGTGCTGGAGTGTGTCGGGTCAACTAGCCAAGGGATACTCTCCTAGTTTCTCCGCTCCATCACAACGTGAATCTTTAGCACTACAGCCCTTCAGCATTGCCTCATCAGGAGCTTGGGAAACAGATCAGGGCCATTTCAAACACACACAAACGAGCACCGGCTAACCATTGTTGTTCATTGAATTAGTCACGCAGACGATTCCTCAATAACTACGCATTCATGTGAGGAAAACATCCTTGTCTGACTCATTTTTAATAGCTTATCAAGAATTTGCTATGGTTTTTCAAATTTGACATCAAAAATTGATCTATATTTCGACATTTGTGACATAGCAATTCACGCTTGACATCGCTTGATTGCATGCGACATTTTGGTCTAAAATTTGTCCCTAGTACCGGAACCAGAGACCACAGATCGACAGCTCTAGATGAAAAGGGAGCAATTGACTCTAGACAACCAGTCTGCACCCGAATCACAAGGTTCCAAGCAGACAAAACTATTTTACTGGGACTCAAAATTCAGGTGAGTAGAAAGCGGGACATTACAACCACGTTAGGCTGCGTTCATACTTTGCGGCAGCGTCTGCCTCCGTCTCGAGGGCTAGGGAAGTATAGGTATCGATCTAGCGTCTGCCAGCGTCCACCAGCGTTCACCAGCGACCGGAGTAGAGAGTATGGGGAAGTAGGAGGGTAGCAAACAGCTGGATTAGGCGTCGTGAAATTGCGGCGTGTGCAACCGTGCCGCACAACTTACAGAAATATGCAATTTAATTTACTGTAGTTTTACAATGGGGTTGCACACGCCGCAATTTCAAGACTTCAAGACGCCTAATCAGCTATATGCTAACGTCCTACTTCCCCATACTCTCTACCACCTGTTGCTGGAGAACGCTGGTAGACCGCGAAAGAGACGCCACGTGATTGGCGTCCCCTCTAGGACCTAATCGATGTGACTCGAAAATGCTGCAGTATAATTATGAGAGAAGCACACCACTTAGTTCTCCGTGTTGCCCCGTGGTTGTAGCGTCCTACACCGGAAAGACTAGGGTTGCTCACGAATCAGAGTAGTACGTCGTTTACCAGTAATATTTATGTCTTCACCAGAATTTCTTTCTATCAGAAGTTGCAGGTCTAGCTTCGCATAAAGCGCAGAATTTTGTGCTGAGTCATCCCTAGTGGCAACTGCTATGGCCTATTGTAACATATTTTGTGGATAATTTGGATTTTCAATCGATTTTCAACTTTTTATGATGGCTCTTTGGAAATTTTCTTTCTCTGCGTAATACGGGGAGGTAATGGGCAGATAACATAGGCTTAGTAACCGGCTGAGCCTAACGAGTAATTACACATCATTTTTTCCAGAATTTCGACAGACACTGGTCATTAGGTGGTCGTAAATAAAAGGTTTCGTTCGTCTCTCAGAACGGTTCTTGAATTTCTCAAATGAAATATTTGACGCTGACACACTACTCTTGATGACTTTGGTCGCGAAGAGGCATCTAGACGACCCTGCTCGTAAACAATAACAGAGCCGAGAATTAGTTATTATAATTCGTAAGACTGCATTATCTATTACTAGACTCGAAACTACTGGTAATTGAACCTATTACGCAGGAGAAGTCGTAATTTGGAGCTGCAAAATGCTTATGAAATGGGAATTAATAAGGTTCAGAAGATCAGATGGCAGGCGAGAACTTAAAGACACATTTCGCGATTACAAGTTGTGGATAATTAGTGGGGATGGACAATAATTGACGCAAGACTAATATAATGACGCCGAGAATCTTTCTCTAGAGCAATACATTAAGGGACAAAGGGCAGTTGGTTGACCCTTCCTGGGATGCGCCATGCATACTAGTTCCGATCAGGAATGCAGTCGTTTACTAAAGAGGATATGGCATGCACAATCACTTAAGGAGTCAACCTATGTACAGGTCACTGTTTTACACTCTCAGACAACTCTAGTGCAAACGAAGCAGGCCGACAGCATGGAAGGCTTGGCTGGCGCTGACTGATGATGATGCTCAGGGGACTTGACCCTCGGTAGAAGAAGTGGTCAAGCCCGAGTCCAAGACAGAACTCAGACACACGAGTGCATGGCGATCACTTTGATTATAATGAACTAAGTTATGTATTTGTCTGAGAAGTGAGGAACTCTGAAAGAGGCCCGACAGTTCTGAAAAGATCTCCGTGTTCACATCTGGGTTTTATGTGAAGTGGAGCGCGAGGATGAAACGAGATTGGGTTTCGTATCGGATCGGAAAACACTACCTCCACCCTAGATATGATTCCCCCTTCTTTACTTCACCTACCATTTTCATAAATCTTACCAACTTCCTTCCACTTTTTCCATTATTTTCTGGAATTTCCCCAAAAATTTGTAATTCTTCCTCAAAACTTTGCTGTCGAGCGGGGTGGGGGGGGGGTACATAGCACATGTGAAATGCGAAAAATGCGAAAAGCCGACAACGGGGAAAAGTTTTTTCCCAAATGCCGCAAACTTCTCAAGGGGCGGATACGCCCCCCCCCCTCCCCCAACGACCAAATACGACCCCTCCACTGGGGATTTTCCAACGTATGACGTGGCTTGGTCTCCTCCCCCT